TCAGTGGACCTAGCTGGCTGTCCTCCAGATTTCTTGGCACAACTTAGTGAGCACATTCAGGGCAGTGTCTGTTTGTTGAAATATGTCAAGCGGTATGCCGTCAACTCCTGGAGCCTTGTGTTTGTCAATTCCTTCAGAGCAATTTGAACTTCCTCCTTCATCACCATAGGCTCTTGCTCATATGTCATGTCATGAAATCCTTCTGTGTCAGCCTATTCCTTCTGATACAGTGACTCTGTGTATTCCTTCCATCTTCTCTTGATACTTCCTGGATCATTTAACATTCTACCCAAAGTATCCTTAAGTATTGTCACCCATGGCTTGAATTTGTTTTTCAGCTCCTCCAGCTTAAGAAACGCTTAGCGAGTTCGGCCCTTTTGATTTTCTGACTCCAGCTCTCTGCACATTTCATTATTGTATCTTGCTCTGTTGTCCTGGGCTGCCTTTTGAAATTTTCTGTTTAGCTCTTTGATTTCTTGGTTTCTTCCTTTAGTTTTGGCTTCTCGGCACTCTAATGCAATATTCAGAGTCTCATCTGACATCCATCTTGGTCTTTCCTTCTTTTTCAGGCTTTGTAATGATCTTTTGTATTCTTCATGGACGATTTTCTTGATATCCTCCCAGAGCTCATTTGGTCTACGCTTATTAGTGTTCAAGGCCTCAAACCTGTTCCTGAGATGATTCTGAAATCAAAGTCATATTTTGGTTCCCGTGGACTTGATTTAATTTTCCTCAATTTCAGCTTGAACTTGCCTATGAGTAGCTGGTGGTCTGTCCCACAATCAGGACCCGGCCTCGTTTTCACTGCTGATATTGAGCTCCTCCACCGAGTCTTTGCACAGATGTAATCTATTTGATTCCTACACATGCCATCAGGTGAGATCCGTGTGTATAGCCTGTGTTTATGTTTATTATAAAAGGTATTTGCAATTAATAAAATCATTGAATGTGCAGAACTCTATCATTCTATCTCCAGCCCATTTCTCTCACTGAGCCCGTATTTTCCAGCTACTGATCCTTCTTCCCTGTTCCAACCTTTTGCGTTCCAGTCGCCCATTATTATCAATGCATCTTGATTTCATGTTTGATCAACTTGGTCCAAGTATAGGTTTCACATTAGCATGATCAAGTGTTCTGGTATTCCCATTCTTCTCAGAGTCAGCCACAGTTTGTTATGATCCACACAGTCAAACGCCTTTGCATAATCAATGAAACAGAGATAAACATTCCCCTGGTATTCCCTGCTTTCAGTTAAGATCTATCTAACATGAGCTACAATATCCCTAGTACCATGACCCCTTCTAAACCCAGCCTGGACTTCTGGCAGTCCTCTGCTGATGTGCTGTTCCAGTCGTTTTTGGATAATCTTCAGTAGAATTTTGCTTGCTTGTGAAATCAATGATATTGTTCTACAGTTTCCATACTCTGTTGGGTCACCCTTCTTTGAAATGGGAACAAATATAGATCTCTTCCAGTCAGTTGGCCAAGTGGTTGTTCTCCAGATTTTTTAGTACATCTTGGTTAGCACGTCCAGGGTAGCATCTGTTAGCTAGAATACATTAATTCGTATACCATCTATTCTTTGGGCCTTATTTTTTGCTATTTCCTTCAAAGCAGCTTGAACTTCTTCCTTTATCACTATAGGCTCTTGCTCATATGTTGTTTCCTTAAATTCTTCTGTGTCTGCCAATTCCTTTCGATACAGTGACTCAGTATATTCTTTCGATCTTCTTTTAATACTTCCTGGATCATTTAATATTCTGCCTAAAGCAGGTTTGAATCTGTTCTTCAGTTCCTTGAGCTTAAGAATGGCTGAGCAAGTTTGGCCCTCCTGATTTTCTGACTCCAGCTCCTTGCACATGTCATTGTAATATTTTGCTTTGTCATCCCGTGCTGCATTTTGGAATCTTCTATTCAGCTCTTTAGTATCTCGAGTTCTTCCTTCTGCTTTGGCTTCTCTGTGTTCCAATGCAATATTCAGAGTTTCTTTTGACATCCATTTTGGTCTTCCCCCCCCTTCTTTCTTTGTATGACTGTGTGCACTCTTCCTGGATAATACCTTTGATATCCTCCAGCAACTCATTTGGCCTTCGCTCATTGGTTTTCAAGGCCTCAAAGTTGTTTCTGAGATGGTCCTGAAACTCAGATAGGGTAGACACAAAGTCATATTTTGGTTCCCATGGATTCAGGAACCTGTATACAGAAGAGATTATCTGGGAGGCTAGGCTCTAAGAGGAGAAGTGTGGCATCAGGATTGGTGGAAGATCTGTCAAAAATATGTATTATGAAGATGACATAACCCTGCTTGCTGAAACAGAGGAGAACCTGAAGCGCTTGCTGCAGAGGGTCAAGGACTGCAGCCTTCAATGTGGATTGAGGCTCAATATCAAGAAGACCATGATTCTTACCACTGGACCAATTGGCAGCATTAGGATGGACAGTGGCGAGATTGAGATTGTTCACAATGTTAGTTTGCTTGGTTCCAGAGTCAACACTCTTGGCACCATTAGCCAGGAAATTAAAAGACATATTGTCATGGGAAAGTCTGCTGTTAGGGACCTCTCCAAAGTACTGAAGAGCAACAGTGTCTCTCTGGAGACTAACGTGCATCTGATACAGGCCATGGTCTTTGCAATCACTTGTTATGCATCAGAGTTGGACAATGACTAGAGAGGATAGAAGGAGAATTGATGTCTTTGAGCTGTGGTGCTGGAGAAGAATAGTGAGTGTATCATGGACTGCCAAGAAACCAAACAGATTCATCCTGGAGAGGGTTAAATCAGGCTGCTCCTTGGAGACAAGGATTCTGAAGCTTCATCTGACATACTTTGGACATGTTGTAAGGAGTGACAGGTCCTTGGAGAGGGACATCATGCTTGGGAGGGTGGAGGGACAGTGCAGGAGGGGAAGACCCTCTATGAGGTGGATTGATTCAGTGACTGGGGTAATTGGGGTGGATGTGTTGGAGGCAGTGCGATTGGCACAGGATAGAGCAGGGTTCAGGGCTGCTGTACATAGGGTCACGATGAGTCGCAAGTGACTCGATGGTACATAATGTGAAGGTTTACAAAGTGATTGGTTTCATTCATGTACATCGTCCTGCTTTCCTCTGTCCCAATTTCCCTCATATTGCTTGTTCCATCCAGACTATTAAATTGCATACACATTATATATAATCGTCCTTTCTTTAACCCATTCCAGTGCAGTATTCACTATCTATCCATTCTTTTTTTGCTTTCTTCCTCCTCATCTCAATCTTCTTATTACAATAGTGGGCTTATGCAGTATTTTTGCCTTTGTGACAGATATTTTACTCAGCATAATGTCTTCAAAATTCCTCCATGCTGTATAGTGTTTTATGAGCTCACTGATGTTCAATGCACTGATATTCAGTTGTATAAATGTACCATAATTTCTCTATCCATTCAACTATTGATGGGAACTTTTGCTGTTTCTCTTTGCTAAAGTGAATAATGCTGCAATAAACATGAATATGCACATTTTTAACAAACAGTGTTGGCAAAATTCGAAAACTATCTGCAGAAAACTAAAGCAAGATCCAAACCCCACCCCATACAATAAAACCAACTCATAGTGGATCAGAGAGAGACCTAGGAGTAAAATTTTTAAACCCATAAAAAAATTGTGTGAATAGATTTTTTTAAGCCATACTAAAACTCTACAAACGGAAGAGGATAAAAAAATTTATTCTTTTTGAGATAAGGAGAGATGATCTGTTTCCACCAATTGTACAAGAGGCTGGCTTTAAACAAATAGTAGAGGAGGCAAATTTCCATTTTGATCCCTTTTCACCTCCTCAATCATGGAAATCTCCTATTTTAGAGAATGGTATCTTATCCAATCTCCAGAAAGTCCCAATTGTAAGGCACATAGAAATTCTCATTAATTAATTTTAATTGCGAAATTCCACTTCAATAAGAATGATTTACGAAGCAGTTGCTGTACAGAGGTAACTCATGGTTGCTGTGATGCTGAAGACTGTGACAGTGATGTGCCAATCATGGTAATGGGCACTCATGGTGGACAGTGTTGGCTGGAGCTTTCTGACTAAATCAAGCCTGGAAGCAGGAGCGGCATCTACTTCCAAAATGGCTTGCCTCTGGAAACTGTGTGTATGAACAGTGCTCAGGCTGTTCGTTCACAGGGTCGCTATGTGTCATCTATGACTCGACGGCATTAAACAACAACAACAACAAAGAAAAAATCATAACATTTCCTCAAAAGGCTATACATAAACCCCCCCATATGAGTCAGCTATTGCACTGCTAAGAATATTCCACGAACATTAGAACTGAGACAGAAACAAACATACATACACCTATGTTTATAGCAGCATTATTCACAACAGTAAGAACTTGGAAACAGTCCAAATGTCCATCAGCAAATGAGTGGATTGAGAATTTTTGGTATATTCACACAACAGAATACAATGCAGCACTAAGAAATAACAATTTTGTAAAAACTTATAATATGGGAGTATAGAGAACATTATGCTGAGTGAACTAACTCAGTCTCATCACGACAAATACTGCATAAGACAAATATTTAAAAACAGAGGGATAACTAGTAAGAAGTGTATAAATATCCCAAAGAGGGTAGGGAAAGCTGGAAGGGGGAAGGAAAAAGTAAAGGAGGAAAATCACTAGGATAGTACAGTTTAGTGGGCAGACTGGGGGTGAGGGTGAAGGTATTAGGAAGGCTCCAATGGGGACTTGAAAAGTTTGTGTAGTAATAGTTATAGATCAATGATAATTAATTATGTAAAATACAATGAACATGAATGATTGTATTAAACACAATGTACATAAAAGATTGTAAAAGAAACAAAAAATGATTCTATGAAACACAATGTAAATGAATTAGTATATGAAAACCAAACAAAATATAAAAAAAGAAAAATGATAGCAAAATGATGATGATGATGATAAGAAATAAATTACTTTGAGGGTTTAAAGACTTTTACTTGTTTACATATTTACCTCATTACTATCTTGGTTTACTCGGACCCAAATTGCTATTCCCAGGAACAAAATTCCACATACCTGAGATTAAAAAATGGAAAGAAAAAGCAATATGTTAGAATACAATTAAGATTAAAAAAATCTAATTCCACATAAAACTTGTCTATTCTGACAACAATGGCTTATCATTAATTATACCATTATAACATGGAACTATAAGGTATATTCAAATGAGGATCATTTCTAAAATGTTAAACTGTAATTCATAAGTTTGATGAGGATAATTCTGTTTCTCATTAAATCTATTTTTCGGTCTATGGATAAGAAATCATCTCCATAGGGTTGGGAGGGGGTGGATTTGCAGGGATTATTTTTCGTGTTTTAAATCCAGTCTTGTGTTTTCTGAAAATTGTAACATATAAATTATAAGACACAACACTATAAAGCTAAAACATGCTCCCTTATGCTCCTGTGGCGCTCCTGGGTTTGTCTCTCTTGAACATTCCAAAACTGAAACAGAAGGGGTAACTGACCAACAAATAGTCATTAAGACTGAAGAACCAGGAAGAAACTGGGAAAAATTGGGAAAAGTAGGATATTAAAAAAAAATTCTAGTAAGAAAGTTATAACTTAATCAATAGTAATTACACTCAGATAAGCTCTTTCTGAACATAAGATCTGTTAGGTGGTAAAGTTTACCCAGAAGGAAGAATAATAAGGAACAGTATTTAAAATCTTAAATTCCTGTAATGACTTTACCAGATTATTTAATTTGGACCAATGCCAACATATAAAATGTGAAACACGTTTTATTTTAGTGTAAGGAAGCCCTTTGTCTTTCAGGGTTCAAAAAAGGGAAATACATTGCGACCTTCAGGGGAAAAAATACATAAGATCTGTTGTAAGATAGAAAGATTGAGAGCGGGACTGGTAACTTATTAGACACAAGAATTCTTAAGAGGACTTTCAATACTATTCCAGCCTCACTGGTCCATGTCTTCCAGTACCTGATGATCTTGGAACATCATTGTTTTCATGGTTGACAGAGCTCATATTTACCATCACAAAGCAGCAGTTTCATTTTTAACAAGGTCTCACAACCTTTGCTTTGGGAATATAATCAAGACCTTGTTAAGAAATTGAGTACAGCTAAGTAGTATAATAACCATAACACTGATGCTCCCTAAAAGACCTTGAAAATCTAGGTTCAAGCCGTTTGTTTTGGTTAAAGAAATGAAAACTTTGAAGGGCAACAGTCACATCAGAAGAAATCTAAGATAATTTCTGGTCCAATACCCTGCTACTACATAATTCATCTACTGCAAAATAATTAATGCAATTAAACTTTCCTTCAGCTCACCAAATGACTCATACGTTTAATTATTTTATAGGTGTGTACAAGTGGTACACACAGCGCTACATATATACTATAATAAATAAACACTGAAAAAAATCATAAACTCTTCTCATTTCCTCTCCTCTTCCTGAATTCAAAATTGTTTTTCAACTCCAATCTTGAGAATTATACAAACTTTCTTTGTGATTTTCAAGTAACCTAAGTTATCATTACAACTCCATATGCAAATTACCTTTTTAAAGATTTTCTTCAAATTTATTTAAGAAACACACAAAAACTAACATTTAAAACACAACATTCTCCTAATTAGAATGGATTATTGGAGAAATTCACTTATGAAGATTTTTGGTAGGTGATAATCTACTCCAACTCACTGTGATCCAATATTGTTAGATTCTGTATTATGCAAATATCATTGTATTGTTCTGTGCCTTTGAGATGGAACCAACCCATAGTTGGCCCTTCAGCAGTTTTCATATTTACTAATATGTAAATATTAGTTTTAATATTATGAAATTATTTGTAAATCTGAATAGACACAACATCAACTGATTACCTTTAATTGTACTTTCTATATTCCCACTACAAAAAAGAAATGTTGACTATCAAAATACTGGTTCCTGAATTCTATCCATATTCTGACTTCCTTTCATTTTCTTCACTCTTCATCAATTGTATTCCTTGACTGTCTGATACTTTTGCCTCACAAGTTAGCATCTTCTTTTGCCTAGATCCCATTTGCACTTATGTCATCTTCTCTTCCACAAAGAATTGGCCTCCACATAATTCACTGTCTCTGGTAATTACCCCATCTTCCATGTTTACCCTGACCCTCAAGGATCTTTACGAGACTCTCAAGCTTAATCTATCAAATGGGCACATAAGAAAATTTTTCTTTTTTTTTTAACAGATCATTTAGGGAATTAGAGTTTACACCCATTATTATTATCTGTAGCACCCCTAGCTCTCTTTATTTGGAAGCAGAGGAATGTCTATCTGTGTTTCATTAACTATGAAACAGCCTTTGAGTAAGTGGATCACAACAAATTGTGGCTAGCCTTGAGAAGAATGGGAATCTCAAAACATTTAATGGTTCAAATTTTGTAAATAAATTAGTATAAAAAATTAATATAAAATATTATATAGGAATGATTGTATGAAGCACAATGTATATTAAAGATTATATAAAACAATGTATATGAAGGGAGCTCTGGTGGCCTAATGGCAAGAAGCTGCACTGTAATCCCAAAGGCTTGTGGTTTGAATCACCAGATGCTGAAGGAGGGGCAATCTCCTCCTGTGCCAGTTAGATCTGATTCAATGGTACACAAGAAAAAAACAAAAAAACAAAAACCACCAAAACTTAAGGAAAAACCACTTAATTTTGCTCATGCAAAACTTATACCAGGACTAGGAAGCAGTAGTCAGAACAAAACAGAGAAACACTGCATGGTTCAGGATCAGGAAAGATGTGCATCAGGGATGCATCCTATTGCCATACTTTTTCAATTTAAATGCAGAACAAGTCATTCAAGAGGCTAGACTTTATGAGAAGAAATGTGGCATCAAGATTGGAGGAACAATCAACCTGCATTATGCAGATGACACAACCTTGCTTGCTGAAACTGAAGAGGACATGAGGTATTTGCAACAGTTGAAGGACTGTAGTCTTCAATATGGATTGAAGTTCAACAGCAAGAAAACAAAGATTCTCATCACTGGGCATATTGGCAGCTTCATGATGGATGAAGAAACGATTGAGACTGTTGATAATCTCAGCTTGCTTGGTTCCACAATCAATGTTGTTGGCACAAGAAATCAAAAGATTAATTGCATCGGAAAAGTCTGCTGTCAGGGACCTCTCTAAAGTACTGAGGAGCAACAATGTCAGTCTAGAGACTAAGGTGCACCTAATCCAGGCCATGGTCTTAACAATTATTTATCAGAGAGGTGGACAATAAGAATGATAGAATAAGGATCAATGCCTTTCTTTGAATTGTGGTGCTGGAGAAGAGTGTTTAACATACCATTGACTGTCAGGAGAACAAAGAGGTTTTTCCTGGAGAGAGTGAAACCAGTTTATTCCCTGGAAGCAAAGATTTTGAGGCTCTGTCTCACATACTTTGGGCATATGGGTAGGAGAGACCAGTCCTTGAAGTGGGACATCATGCTTGGAAGGGTAGAGGGACAGTTCAGGAAAGGAAGACCCTGGATGAGATGGATTGACTCAGTGACTGAAGCAATGAGACTAGGTCTGTTTGAGACAATGAGATTGGGTCAGGATAGAGCAGTTTTTGGAGCTAATGTACATAGGATCAATATGAGTGGCAGGTGAACCAATGGCACATAATAACAACCACAATTCAAGCATGAGTGATTTGTTGTTGTTATATATTGTCAAGTCAGAACTGATTAAAAGCTGACCTTCTAGCAGGTTTACAGAGTCGGTAAATTGCAAGGGAGACGACTGCCCATCTTTGTCCCACAGAGGTGGATTCAAATGACCTGCCTTTGGGTTGACAGAGCATTTCCTTACCATTAAGCCACTGGTACTCCCTGAGTGCTTGGGAATTTTTTTTTCCCTTCACTTTCCCATGTTTTTCTTCAACTTGTAATTCTAACAAATGAAAATTACTATGTATTTATATGGCATATCTAAGGTTCTCCCAAAAGAAACTGGCATGTTTAGTTTAAATGACCATATGCATATCTTAGAGATATTTAAACATCTGGCCCTACTTTAGGAAGGCTTAGTTTTACAAGTTACACCAGAAAGAATGCATTTAAAAACATAAAGTCATGGCTATCTAGAAGAAAACCACATCACTGAGACCCTTAAAATTTTTGCTAACATCAACATCAGGAATGTGACAAATTGCTAATTTCCTATGAAGGGTTGTAAAACTCCAACTGAGAGCTCTGGGTTGGGTGTGTATGGGAGACTACAAATAGGAACATTCCCTAATCTCAAAGACTTTCCCCTGCTCTCTAGATTTTGAGAAAAATATTAATGTTACCTGCTAACTGGAGTACTATCACTGATCTTTACCACTACCAGTCTCACTCAAGGGCTCCATTTCAAGATCTCCCCTAAACCACATGATGATGTGTTAAATTAGGACATTTTTACCCAGAAGAAAGTGAGAAAAATCTGATTTTCTTTTTGTTAGTTGAGAAATCAAAAGAATATATAATAAGCAGAGCTCCCTAGTGAAAAAGTGCCCTTTCTGTTTGTGTTACTTAGGGTTAAAATTTTAATCCATTACAAATTCCTAATGAGCTCTTTGATGAAATACTGAATTTGGAGGTATTTACAATAGGCGCTGACATATCCATATTGTTATTAACCAAGGGAGAGATCATGAAATTGTTTCTTAATTTGAGGACTGTTACTAGATTGGGTTTTTGGTGGTCAGTGGGTTATGTGTTAGGCTGCTAACAGAAAGGTTGGCTGTTCAAACCTGTCAGTTGCTCTTGCAGGAGACCTGGCAGTCTGCTCCTGTAAAGATTTACAGCTTCAGAGATCTCATAGGACAGTGGGATCACTATAGGTCAGAATGGACTTGACCACATTGGATATTGGATCTAATTCTCTCAAATATTAAAATAATCAGCACTTACTAGTATATCCCTATTTTTAGTTTCAGTGAGTCATATTATAAAAAGAACGCAGTGAGTATAGTTTAACCCTCTCAGTCTGCAGGCTGTCAAAAGTGAACACCAAGGGAGCTCTGGTGGCCTAGTGGCAGGCAAGAACCTATGCTGCGATCCTGAAGACACACAGTTCAAATCCACAAGATGCTTTGCTTGAGAAGGAGGGGCAGTCTCCTCCTGTGCCAGCCGAATCTGAGTCAACAGCACACAACAAGAAAAAAAAGAGAGTAGACTCCATCTTTGAATATCCCCCCAACCTTGGTTTAATTCATGTTTTCTCTAAGAGTTAATGCTCTTAGCTTTAAAAAAAATAGAAATGAAATTTGCTCTATCTTGAATTCTTTGTTTCATTTATGATGGGCAAACTCCCATGCCCATTTACTCCCATTTAAATTGCCCCTGAAAACCTGCTGGAGGGTCAGTTATGAGTCAGTTCTGATTCGAGGGTACGCAACAACAGACTGAAAGAAGAGTGTATATTTAACTAATTGCATTTCCTTTCTTTTTTCTTTGTTTGAATCCTTTACTGAATATCCCATGGATGGCCAAGAGAATGAACAGATATGTCTCAGAAATGGTACAGCCAGAGTGCTCTTTGGAAGCAAGAATGATGAGGCTTCACCTCACCTCACATACTTTGGACATGTTGCTAAGAGATGCTTTTCCTTGTTGAAGGACATGATATTGGGAAGGTTGGAGCGCTGGTGAAGGAGAGGAAGACCCTCAATCAGGTGAAATGACCTGGTGACTGTTGCAATGGGCTCTGGTGTGTCAGGAGGAAGTGTTCAAATGGGGCAAAATAGAACAGGATTCAGATCTTTTGTTTGTACAGTCACTGTGAGTCGTGCTGGACTCGACAGCACCTAACTACAACAATTTAGCCTTGTGCAGTACAGATGCAAAGGTATCTAAGCCACATCTAGCTTTCGGTAGTCCTGGAAACCTTAATACAAGGGAGCTCTAGTGGCCTAGTGACAAGAAGCTGCACTGAAATCCCAAAGGCACGCAGTTTGAATCAACCAGATGCTACACTGGAGAAGGAAGGACAATCTCCTTCTTTGCTGGTCAGATTTGACTCAATGCTACACAACAATGAAAAAAAACATAAACTTTAATACATCTATTCCAATATAATTTCACAATATCTGAAATGTTAAATAAATTAATTGGCCACTGAAGACATACTAAGAGTGAACTTTTGAGTAATACACATATTTCTTTTCTCCTCTGAGGTTTTGGAAGCAGGGGTGGCATCCAATTCCAAACAACATGCCTCTGGAAACTCTATGAACTTGGAGAAACAATGATAGTTATAGAAAGTCTTCAGACCTTTTGTTCAGAGGGTTTCTATGAATTGTTTTCGATTCAACAGCAATCAACAACATCTGAGGTTTAATGGGAAGCTGCTATCAATACTTAAAGAGTATGCTGCCATCTGATATGGGCTTACCTGCAAGAATCTGAAGGAATGAACTTTATTCCACAAATTCCAGTGTCAGAGATGCCTCGGAACATATTTTTGTTGTTAGGTGTCGGCAAGTTGATTACAACTCATAGTGATCTTATGAGCAGCCTATCAGAACTTTGCCCTATTTTGTGATACCTTCATCATTTCTGACAGACTAGAGCCCAATGCTGAAGTTACCGTGTCAATCCCTCTCGTTGAAGGGTCTCCTCTCCTTTGCTGACCAAGCATGATGTCCTTTTGCAAGGAACAGCCATGCCTAGCTACATGGCCGAAGTATGAAATTTTGCCTACTTTGCTTCCAAGGAACACCCTGGCTGCATTTTTTTTCCAAGACATATATGTTCTTTCGGCAGTTCATGGAATAGTTAGTATTCTTCTCCAGCATCACAACTCAAGGGCATCAATTCTTCTTCTGTCATTCTTTTTCATTCTCCAGCAAAGATGACAAAGCTTCCTCTCATATATTTTGGGCATGTTAATAGGAGAGGTTATTCTTTGGACAGGAATATCATGCTTGGAAAGATGGAAAGTCAGGAAAAGAGAGGAAGAGCCTCAACCAGATGGACTGAAGCAGTGACTGCTGCAATGGACTCAAGTATATTAGAAATGATGAGGACGGCACAAGATAGGACAGGATTCATAGAGTCACTAGCAGTCATACTCAACTGCATGACACTTAACAACAACAACAATTGTG